AGGGTCTCCCAAGGGTATGTACGCACTATGCCACTCCATATCACCTCAAAATATGAAGGGAGAGGCATAATCGAATCCAAGACCATCAATCACGCATCTCGATGCATGATGGCCAAAGATCCAACATGTGCAAATTTCGATAAATGCATGACAAATAAGACACCAAGACCATCTCCTTATCATAAGGAATCATAGGAAATGGAGACCAAGGAAGATTGGCTCATTTCATCACTTTAAGTGTGAAATGAACCAATCTTCATTTCGTTCAATACAACGTCCGATTGAACGCAATGCAAAACATGCAAACAACATGCTAATCATGACATGAAATGCACTACTCTAACATGCAAGCCTTCATGTACAACATGTTAAGGGGCCAAGAACACCAAGGCTAGTGAAGAGGGTGACACTATAAGCATGTACTACAATGCTCAAACAACCAAACCAGCCCCAAACAAAGTTACACCATGCCCAAAATAGTGCCAAAACATGCTAAGATAGAAGCTCAAAGGACTATACAAACATGCATGCATATTAGCCCGAGCGTAAGGCACAAAACACAACTCTCCAAAGGCATTGAAAGAGTGAAACATGGAATATGGTGGCATGTATTTTAGCACTGAAAAGGCATACAAAATGACATAGAATCATGCAAACAACCCATGTAATGCATGTTGAAAGGCTCAAGCGTCAAAGCTAGGGAAGTGTATTACACTAGAGGCATGCAAGACAATGCTCAAATGGCCAAATCAGCCCCAAACAGACCTTATGTAGGCCAAAATAGTAGCCAAAATGGACTGAGATGATGGCTTGAAAGGCAAGAAAATGAGGCTCATGTAATGACTCACAAATAAGGCATAAAGGCACAACTCTTAAGAGCACTTAAAGAATGGAAAATATGGAAGTGCAACACTCTATATGCTCTAAAATATCATTCCAAATGATGCCAAAACATGCAAATACTTCAAGTTAAGCATGCAAGATTCCTCAAAATTCAAGGCTAGTCAAAGCTTTTGCACTACAAGCATGCATGACAAGCATCATTCAACCAAGAAGCCTCAAAACAGAGCTAAAGCATGCCAAAATATGAACAAAAGAATGCTGGGGTATAGCCAAAATGAGCTAGAATAATAGGCTAAAGAGACAAGCATGTTAGGCTAGTATGGCAAAATTACAGTACAAGTGTATGAGCCACTCGAGACAACCAAACTTGTAATAACCCGACCCTTACATACGATTCTGATATATCTTCAGTCCCTATTTTGTGCTTTCACATGTTTACAGTGAAATTCTCTAAGAAATTGAGATTACTTAAGTGAATCCTATGCTTATGGATGTATATCTGTCTAATAAGGAAAACATCTGTTACAATTATAATGTTTGAAGCAGAAATTAGAAGCTTTAGAGGCCTAATTATCTGAAATTGATGTTATATTTAGAATCTGCATAATTTTTAAGTAATAATAAGCACTTCTGTGAAATTTCAATTTAGGATGATTAAACGATTGATTTTTTGTGCTATTCATTTCTAATACATATATGTGTGTTTTTTGGTCATTTGACTTAAAAACATTTCCTAGCTTAAAATGTCTCTTGGGAGAGGACATGGAGAATAGAGAAAAGGAACTAGAAGAGAGCTTCTTCAAGATCAAAATTTGGATAATCTAGAGGGTATTTGGGAGGTTAAGACCACAAGTAAGTCTATTCATTCCCTATAACTCCTTTCTTGAATTTGAGTGTGATTCAACCATAATTATGTAACCTAGGACTTGGAATTGAGACTTGGATCATGTTTTATCAATTGGATGAGTTGGAACTAAGTTGTTTATGCATATATGTGGAAAAACTATCTTTTATTTCTTACTTTTTCATGAAGGTCATGAAGAACTTACCTAATATATATATGTGATGTTATATGTGATGTTGAATACAAAAGAAAACTAGGTTTTGCTTAAGAATTCAAGAACTAGTTTATATCTAGAATGATGTATGTGTTTGAAGCTCCTATTAACATGATTTTTAGGCCATGTTTTATGAATTAAGAAAGCTAATTTGAGCCTTGTAAATATTCACCAAAAGATGGGATTTTGTATAAATTTTTGGACTGTTTTGCACAGAATCGCCGCACGTGCGGGGGTCATGGCCGCACGTGCAGGAACCCAGCCGCATGTGTGGGAGCCATGGTTGCACGTGCGGGAAATGAGGAATTTTGAGGTTTTGGTTCTGCCTAAAAGGCACGTGCAGGGCATTACTGCCGCACATGCGGGAGTCTTTGCTGCACGTGCGGGGCTCACAGCCGCACGTGCGGCCCATGCTGGGAAAAATGGTCTGCTTTGTTTTGCGTGCTGGACCCTTGGATATTTTTAGGATTTGTATTTTATGTCTATTGATGTTTGAAAATTCATTTGAAGTGAAATGAATCGGGAACTCGTTCAACAAAAGACATGAACTGACTTGCAAGTTATAAATGTGTGCAGGACACACTCCGGGAGGAACTAGCATGTCGTCACAACGCTGTGAGTAGTAGTACTGTTGTAGTACGCTTTCCTACAGCTAATGATTGCTAATAGCATTCTGTTAATGCACGCCAATTATGTAACTTGGTTGAATGTTAGTAAGGATGTGAATGAACCATGTAAAAGAATTTAAATGTTTTTATATGACTTCGGAACTCTGTAAGACTTTGATATCTGGGCCTATGGCCATTCCGTTTATGTTGTTAGGGTATGAAACAAAATGCTACACGAAACTAAGTGCTACGAAGTGAGTTACCTCTAGAATCCGTGTGAGACACCTCTTGGGTTCATATATGCATGTTTAAGGGCTTAATGCCAATACTCAAGGGCTCAATGCCAATATGTTCAAGGGCTTAATGCCAACATGTTTAAGGGCTTAATGCCAATATATTCAAGGGCTTATTGCCATTCCGTTTAAGGGCTTAAAGCCATTATGTTTCAAGATTGGGCCTAAGGCCGTTTTGAAATTCATACAGAATCAGATTAAACATGTAATCTCTGCATTTAAGTACGCATTGATTTGTATTATGATTTAAGTTGAACATCAAATTATAAAGGTATAACTATTATTCACTGAGCCTGGCTCACTCTGTGTTATGTCTGTTTCTGTAGGTAATCAATCGGGAGGGCAGTCCTAACCTATGGCATCCATCCCCTTTTGTCAACCTCTGAGTGATCAGGCACTAGGCGAAGCCTCTTATGTTTTGTGAAGTTTTGTCTCGTACTTTGATTTCTTGTCTTAGGTTGATTGTACATAACTTCCTTATCTCAAATGTTTTTGTTATACGCCCAATCTTAGGGCTGGGCCTGCCTATGTATGTGTATATAACCGATGCCCAGGTGCATGTTTTGGTGTATTATTTATCTGTTATGATGTTTGTGATCCTGGCATAGTAGTGATAGCTCAATGGAGTTTGTTTTTGTAATTTTATAATATTGAATGCATCCGTCAAGGCCCCGTATGTTATGTATATCAGGTTAAATGTCCGTTTCTGAGTAGGTCATGCCAAAACTTTTAGGGGCGAGTTTGAGACGTGACAAGTGGTATCAAAGCACAAGTTGCTATCTCACACACAGATCCATTGAGCTTTAGGGTATCTAGAAAAGACTTAGGCATTATGCATGACATCCTGAAAGTATATGAAAAGATTGATGACAACATTAAGTGTACTCTGATAATGCTACCAATTTTGAACTATGTCTATAGTATATAATTGATTGTTGTGTAGATTATGGTGAGAACAAGGACAGAAGACCCAGAAGATGCTACTTTTGCACTGTTGGATAGGATGGAGCAAATGATTATGGAAATGGCGGAGACCCTACGGCAACAACAGCAACAGCCACAACAGCAACCGCCACCGCCACCGGTACCTCCACCGGCAGTACAAGACTTCCATGTTGAAGACCGGACCATTACCCTTACTAAGGAGTTTAAAAAGATGAAACCGCCGTCATTCAAAGGAGGAATAGAACCAATGAAAGTTGAAGCATGGGTACTGGGAATAGAGAAGTTATTCGAAGTTTTCCCTTGTACCGAAGCTCAAAAGGTGCAATTGGCTGCCTTCACTCTTGAGGATGAGGCACGGAGATGGTGGATGCTTACGAGAACTATTTCTGAGTAGGTCATGCCAAAACTTTTAGGGGCGAGTTTGAGACGTGACAAGTGGTATCAAAGCACAAGTTGCTATCTCACACACAGATCCATTGAGCTTTAGGGTATCTAGAAAAGACTTAGGCATTATGCATGACATCCTGAAAGTATATGAAAAGATTGATGACAACATTAAGTGTACTCTGATAATGCTACCAATTTTGAACTATGTCTATAGTATATAATTGATTGTTGTGTAGATTATGGTGAGAACAAGGACAGAAGACCCAGAAGATGCTACTTTTGCACTGTTGGATAGGATGGAGCAAATGATTATGGAAATGGCGGAGACCCTATGGCAACAACAGCAACAGCCACAACAGCAACCACCACCGCCACCGGTACCTCCACCGGCAATACAAGACTTCCATGCTGAAGACCGGACCATTACCCTTACTAAGGAGTTTAAAAAGATGAAACCGCTGTCATTCAAAGGAGGAATAGAACCAATGAAAGCTGAAGCATGGGTGCTAGGAATAGAGAAGTTATTCGAAGTTTTCCCTTGTACCGAAGCTCAAAAGGTGCAACTGGCTGCCTTCACTCTTGAGGATGAGGCACGGAGATGGTAGATGCTTACGAGAACTATACATAAAGGATTGACATGGGACAGATTCTTGGAATTATTCTATGACAAGTATTTTCCTCAAAGTATGCGAGATAAGAAGGTGACGGAATTTGAAACTCTCAGACAAGGGAACAAGACCGTTGCCGAATATGAAGCCCAATTTGCAGAGTTAGCTCGGTTTGCACCTCACATGGTAAACACGGATTATAAGAAGGCATAGAAGTTTGAAGGGGGATTACGGGGTGCTATCTTGGACCAAGTCAATATGCTGAAGTTACCCGCGTATGTTGATGTGTTGGAGAGGGCTGTCATAGCGGAAGGAAATATTGCTGCTCAGAACCGAATTTCCGAATGGAAAGGGAAGAAGCAAAATACTCAATGGTCAAAGGGGACAACTACTCCGCCAAATAAGAAACAAAATTCAGGGACTTCAAATACTTCTATCCCTAGTCAAGATTCAATTCCTGTTTGTTTGGAATGTGGAAAGAAGCATCGTGGAACGTGCCATCGGAAGTCTGGAGCTTGTTTCCAGTGTGGTAAAACGGGCCATTTGATAAAAGATTGCCCTCAGAGAAAGCAACAAAATGGCAATAGGGCTACTACTAGTTCAGCGGGGTCTACACCACCTACCAACACCAAGTCAGCTGCCAAACCTACTAACAATAAAGACGCTGCAAGACAGGGCAGGGTGTTTGCTTTGGTTTCGGGAGTTGTGCAAAATGCGACAACGGTGGTGTCAGGTACATTTATGGTTCACGGTCATTCTGCTTATGTGTTGTTTGATTCTGGCTCTACCCATTCTTTTGTGTCAATTATTTGCTCGCAATTTAGATAAATCTGAGGAAGTACTATCTTATATGCTATGTGTGTCCTCACCTTTGGGGGATTCTATGATTTGTACTTCTGTATACTTAGCTTGTGAACTCCAACTTGGGGATAGTCGGGTGTATGCCAATCTGTTACCTCTCGACATGACCTATTTTGATGTTATTCTGGGAATGGACTGGTTGAGTGAATATGGTGCGACTATAGACTGTTTGACTATGCAAATCAATTTCCACCCTTCGGGACAGTCAAGGTCTGTTTTACAGGGACAGGAAGTGACTTCCCCACCTTATTTGATCTCTGCAGCAAAGGCTTGTAGATTAATTCAGAAAGGGTGTTAGGGGTATTTGTGTAGTGTTTTGGAAGGGCAAGTGATGAATAGGAATACCAATATAATTCTAGTCGTTCATGAATTTCTGGATGTCTTTTCGGAAGAATTACCAGGGCAGTTAATAGACCGTGAAATTGAGTTTATAATTGAAGTAGCACTGGGAACTCAACTCATTTCTAAGACCCCGTATAGAATGTCACAAGCTGAAATGAAGGAATTAAAGGTTCAATTACAAGATTTACTTGATAAGGGGTTCATTCGCCCGAGTGTGCCTTCTTGGGGTGCACAAGTTCTGTTTGTGAAAAAGAAGGATGGAACACTCCGATTTTGTATTGATTATAGGGAACTCAACAGGGTAACGATCAAGAATAAGTACCCATTACCACAGATCGATGATTTATTTGACCAGCTTCAAGGGGCACAAGTGTTCTCTAAAATTGATTTACGGTCCGGATATCACTAGTTGAAGGTCAAAACTGATGATGTTGAGAAGACAGCTTTTTGAACCTGATACGGTCATTATGAATTTTTGGTTATGCCCTTTAGAGTTACCAACGCACCGGCAACATTTATGGATCTGATGAATCGTGTCTTTAAACCTTATCTGGATGAGTTTGTGGTAGTCTTTTTCGATGATATCCTCATTTACTCGAAGAATGTGGAAGCTCATGAAAACCATCTTCGCTTGATCTTTCAGACCCTCAGGGAAAAGAAACTGTATGAAAAGCTAAAGAACTGTGAATTTTGGCTACATGAGGTGGCATTTCTAGGGCATATTATAACAAAGGAAGGAGTTTCTGTTGATCCACACAAAATTGAGGCGATCGTGAATTGGCCAACTCTCACTAATGTAACTGAGGTGTGTAGCTTTATGGGATTAGCCGGATATTACAGAAGGTTTGTGCAAGATTTTTCCAAAATCGCTGTGCCACTTACACAACTGACTCGAAGGGGAGTTGAATTTGAATGGTCAGAAGAGCGGGAATTTGCTTTCCAGGAATTGAAAACAAAGTTAACTACAACACCAATGCTGGCCTTACCATCCGGTACTGAAGGGTTTGTAATCTACAGTGATGGTTCGCATAAAGGGCTTGGTTGTGTACTTATGCAAAATGGAAGGGTTATCGCTTATGCCTCTCGACAGCTGAAACCCCATGAGAAGAATTATCCCACGCATGATCATGAGCTAGAAGCAGTAGTTTTGTTTTGAATATATGGAGACACTATCTGTATGGCACTACTTGCGAAGTGTACACTGACCATAAGAGTCTCAAGTATCTTTTTACCCAAAAAGAGTTGAATATGTGGCAGCGACGGTGGTTGGAACTTATTAAAGATTATGATTTACAGATTCATTACCATCCTGGTAAAGCCAACACAGTTGCAGACGCACTTAGTCGGAAGAATATGGGAAATTTGGCAAATTTGGTTACAGAGCAGAAGGAATTAGCAACTGAATTGGATAGAATGGAAATAGATCTCGTACTACATGGGCAGGAAGCTATAATGGCAGCAGTGATGGCCCAACCGACCCTACTTGAGGAAATTAAATTACATCAAATGGAAGATGAAACTCTAAAGAAGATATGTGATGAGTTAAAGACAAAACCAAAACCAGGGTTCAGCTTAGTGGATTCGGTGCTCAAATTTCAAAACCGAATATGTGTCCCCAATGTGTTGGAACTTAAAGGGCGAGTTTGGGGCGTGACAAGTGGTATCAGAGCACGAGTTGCTATCTCACACACGGATTCATTGAGCTTTAGGGTGCCTAGAAAAGACTTAGGCATTATGCATGACATCCTAAAAGTATATGAAAAGATCGATGGCAACGTTAAGTGTACTCTGATAATGCTAACAATTTTGAACTATGTCTATGGTATATAATTGATTGTTGTGTAGATTATGGTGAGAACAAGGAAAGAAGACCCGGAAGATACTACTTCTGCACGGTTGGATAGGATGGAGCGAATGATTACGGAAATGGCGGAGACCCTACGGCAACAACAACAACAGCAACAGCCACAGCCTCAACCGCCACCACCACCGCCACCGCCACCGGTACCTCCACCGGCAGTACAAGATTTTCAAGCTGAGGATCGAACCATTACACTCACAAAGGAGTTTAAAAAGATGAAACCACCGTCATTCAAAGGGGGGATAGAACCAATGAAAGCTGAAGCATGGGTATTGGAAATAGAGAAGTTATTTGAAGTTTTCCCTTGTACTGAAGCTCAAAAGGTGCAACCGGCTGCCTTCACTCTTGAGGACGAGGCACGGAGGTGGTGGATGCTTACAAGAACTATATGTCAAGGATTGACATGGGACAGATTCTTGGAATTATTCTATGATAAGTATTTTCCTCAAAGTATGCGAGATAAGAAGGTGACTGAATTTGAAACTCTTAGTCAAGGAAACAAGACCGTTCTGAATATGAAGCCCAATTTGCAGAGCTAGCCCGGTTTGCACCTCATATGGCAGACACGGATTATAAGAAGGCACGAAAGTTTGAAGGGGGATTACGGGGTGCTATCCTGGACCGAGTTAATATGTTGAAGCTACCCATTCATGTTGATGTGTTGGAGAGGGCTATCATAGCGGAAGAAAATATTGCTACTCAGAACCGGATTTCTGAATGGAAAGGGAAGAGACAGAATACTCAATGGTCAAAGGGGACAACTACTCCGCCAAATAAGAAACAAAATTCAGGGACTTCAAATACTTCTATCCCTAGTCAAGATTCAATTCCTGTTTGTCTGGAATGTGGAAAGAAGCATCGTGGAACATGCCATTGGAAGTCTGATGCTTGTTTCCAGTATGGTAAAAAGGGCCATTTGATAAAAGATTGCCCTTAGAGAAAGCAACAAAATGGTAATATGGCTACTACCAGTTCAGCGGGGTCTACACCACCTACCAACAACAAGTCAGCTGCCAAACCTACTAATAATAAAAATGCTGTAAGACAGGGCAGGGTGTTTGCTTTGGTTTCAGGAGATGTGCAAAATGCGACAACGGTGGTGTCAGGTACATTTATGGTTCACGGTCATTCTGCTTATGTATTGTTTGATTCTGGCTCTACCCATTCTTTTGTGTCAAAATTATTTGCTCGCAATTTAGATAAATCTGAGGAAGTACTATCTTATATGCTATGTGTGTCCTCACCTTTGGGGGATTCTATGATTTGTACTTCTGTATACTTAGCTTGTGAACTCCAACTTGGGGATAGTCGGGTGTATGCTAATCTGTTACCTCTCGACATGACCTATTTTGATGTTATTCTGGGAATGGACTGGTTGAGTGAATATGGTGTGACTATAGACTGTTTGACTAAGCAAATCAATTTCCACCCTTTGGGACAGTCAAGGTCTGTTTTTCAGGGACAGGAAGTGACTTTCCCACCTTATTTAATCTCTGCAGCAAAGGCTTGTAGATTAATTCAGAAAGGGTGTTAGGGGTATTTGTGTAGTGTTTTGGAAGGGCAAGTGATGAATGGGAATACCGATATAATTCCAATCGTTCGTGAATTTTCGGATGTCTTTTCAGAAGAATTACCAGGGCAGTTAATAGACCGTGAAATTGAGTTTACAATTAAAGTAGCGCCGGGAACTCAACTCATTTCTAAGACCCCGTATAGAATGTCACCAGCTGAAATGAAGGAATTAAAGGTTCAATTACAAGATTTACTTGATAAGGGGTTCATTCGCCCGAGTGTGTCTCCTTGGGGTGCACAAGTTCTGTTTGTGAAAAAGAAAGATGGAACACTCTGACTTTGTATTGATTACAGGAACTCAACAGGGTAACGATCAAGAATAAGTACCCATTACCACGGATTGATGATTTATTTGACCAGCTTCAAGGGGCACAAGTGTTCTCTAAAATTGATTTACGGTCCGGATATCAATAGTTGAAGGTCAAAGCTGATGATGTTGAGAAGACAGCTTTTTGAACCTGATACGTTCATTATGAATTTTTGGTTATGCCCTTTAGAGTTACCAACGCGCCGGCAACATTTGTGGATCTGATGAATCGTGTCTTTAAACCTTATCTGGATGAGTTTGTGGTAGTCTTTATCGATGATATCCTCATTTACTCGAAGAATGTGGAAGCTCATGAAAACCATCTTCGCTTGATCTTTCAGACCCTCAGGGAAAAGAAACTGTATGCAAAGCTGAAGAAATGTGAATTTTGGCTACAGAAGGTGGCATTTCTGGGCATATTATAACAAAGGAAGGAGTTTCTATTGATCCACACAAAATTGAGGCGATCGTGAATTGGCCAACTCCCACTAATGTAACTGAGGTGTGTAGCTTTATGGGATTAGTTAGATATTACAGAAGGTTTGTGCAAGATTTTTCCAAAATCGCTGTGCCACTTACACAACTGACTCAAAAGGGAGTTGAATTTGAATGGTCAGAAGAGCGGGAATCTGCTTTCCAGGAATTGAAAACAAAGTTAACTACAGCACCAGTGCTGGCCTTACCATCCGGTACTGAAGGGTTTGTAATCTACAGTGATGCTTCGCATAAAGGGCTTGGTTGTGTACTTATGCAAAATGGAAGGGTTATCGCTTATGCCTCTCGACAGCTGAAACCCCATGAGAAGAATTATCCCATGCATGATCTTGAGCTAGAAGCAGTAGTCTTTGCTTTGAATATATGGAGACACTATCTGTATGGCACTACCTGCAAAGTGTACACTAACCATAAGAGTCTCAAGTATCTTTTTACCCAAAAAGAGTTGAATATGCGGCAGCGACGGTGGTTGGAACTTATTAAAGATTATGATTTACAGATTCATTACCATCCTGGTAAAGCCAACACAGTTGCAGACTTACTTAGTCGGAAGAATATGGGAAATTTGGCAAATTTGGTTACAGAACAAAAGGAATTAGCAACTGAATTGGATAGAATGGAAGTAGATCTCGTACTACATGGGCAGGAAGCTATAATGGCAGCAGTGATGGCCCAACCGACCCTACTTGAGGAAATTAAATTACATCAAATGGAAGATGAAACTCTAAAGAAGGTATGTGATGAGTTAAAGACAAAACCAAAACCAGGGTTCAGCTTAGTGGATTCGGTGCTCAAATTTCAAAACCGAATATGTGTCCCCAATGTGTCAGAACTTAAACGGAAATTGATGGAAGAAGCACACACCTCAAGATTTTTAATGCATCCGGGAAGTACTAAAATGTACCGAAATTTGAAACAAAACTTTTGGTGGCCAGGCATGAAAAAGGATATCGCGGAATTCGTCTCTAAGTGTTTGCAATGTCAGCAAGTAAAAGCGGAACATCAGAGATCAGCAGGATTATTGCAACCCCTTCTAATCCCGGAATGGAAGTGGGAACATCCGACCATGGATTTTGTTGTGGGGTTACCACGGATACCTCGGGGTATGAATTCTATATGGGTCGTTGTAGACCGATTAACGAAGTCCGCTCACTTCCTACCAGTGAAGACTCAGTATAATGCAGATAAACTGGCGGTAATTTATGTGAATGAAATTGTAAGGCTTCATGGTGTTCGGTCTCAATTGCGTCAGATAGGGATCCAAAGTTTGTTTCCAGATTTTGGCAAAGTCTGCAGGAAGCAATGGGTACAGAATTAAAGTTCAGCACAGCTTTCCACCCTCAGACTGATGGTCAATCCAAGAGAACGATACAGACTCTGGAGGATATGCTCCGAATGTGTGTACTAGATTTTCAAGAAAGTTGGGAAACCCATCTACCGTTGGTAGAGTTTGCATACAATAATAGTTACCATTCGAGTATTGAAATGGCACCCTATGAGGCTCTGTATGGAAGACCGCATCGTTCTCCCGTATGTTGGGCCGAAGTTGGAGATAGATCGTTGCTAGGGCCTGAAATTGTTCAGTTGACAACTGAAAAGATTAAATTAATTCGGGAAAGGTTGAAAATTGCTCAATGTAGGCAGAAAAATTATGCAGATAACCGACGAAGGGATTTGGAATTTGACGTGGATAGTCATGTCTTTGTAAAGGTCACTCCGATGAAAGGACATCCAAGATTCAGGAAAAGGGGTAAGTTAACACCCCGATATGTTGGTCCCTTTCAAATTTTGGAAAGGGTGGGTCCGGTAGCTTACCGGGTTGCCCTTCCACCAAATATGAGTCAAGTACATAACGTCCCTTTCAAATTTTGGGAAAAGTGGGTCTGGTAGCTTACCGGGTTGCCCTTCCGCCCAATATGAGTCAAGTACATAACGTGTTTCATGTTTCTATGCTTCGAGGATACCTTCCGGATCCATCACATGTCATTGATTACCACCAAATTGAGTTGGATGACAAGTTAACTTATGAAGAAAAACCAATTCGAATTCTGGATCGGCAAGTGAAACAGTTACGAAATCGCGAAATTCCAATGGTAAAGGTTGAATGGCAAGAACATTACGGGACCGAAGCTACTTGGGAAAAAGAAGAGGAAATGCACCACCGATATCCGCATCTGTTTCTGTTTTAAGGTAAAACAAGTTTGAGGGACCAAACTTATTTAGGGGGGGGGGGAGAGTGTAATAACCCGACCCTCACATACGATTTTGATATATTTTTAGTCCCTATTTTGTGCTTTCACATGTTTACGGTGAAATTCTTTAAGAAATTGAGATTACTTAAGTGAATCCTATGCTTATGGATGTATATCTGTCTAATAAGGAAGACATCTGTTACAATGATAATGTTTGAAGCAGAAATTAGAAGCTTTAGAGGCCTAATTATCTGAAATTGATGTTGTATTTAGAATCTGCGTAATTTTTAAGTAATAATAAGCACTTCTGTGAAATTTCAATTTAGGATGATTAAACGATTGATTTTTTGTCCTATTCACTTCTAATATATATATATGTGTGTTCTTTGGCCATTTGACTTAAAAACATTTCCTAGCTTAAAATGTCTCTTGGGAGAGGATAGGGAGAATAAAGAAAAAGAACTAGAAGGGAGCTTCTTCAAGATCAAAATTTGGATAATCTAGAGGGTATTTGGGAGGTTAAGACCACAAGTAAGTCTATTCATTCCCTATAACTCCTTTCTTGAATTTGAGTGTGATTCAACCATAATTGTGTAACCTAGGACTTGGAATTGAGACTTGGATCATGTTTTATCAATTGGATGAGTTGGAACTAAGTTGTTTATGCATATATGTGGAAAAACTATCTTTTATTTCTTACTTTTTCATGAAGGTCATGAAGAACTTACCTAATATATATATGTGATGTTATATGTGATGTTGAATGCAAAAGAAAACTAGGTATTGCTTAAGAATTCAAGAACTAGTTTATATCTAGAATGATGTATGTGTTTGAAGCTCTTATTAACATGATTTTTAGGCCATGTTTTATGAATTAAGAAAGCTAATTTGAGCCTTGTAAATATTCACCAAAAGATGGGATTTTGTATAAATTTTCGGACTGCTTTGCATAGAATCGCCGCACATGCGGGGGTCATGGCCGCACGTGCAGGAACCCAGCCGCATGTGCGAGAAATGAGGAATTTTGAGGTTTTGGTTCTGCCTAAAAGGCACGTGCGGGGCATTACTGCCGCACGTACGGGAGCCTTTGCCGTACGTGCGGGGCTCACAGCCGCACGTGCGGCCCATGCTGGGAAAAATGGTCTGCTTTGTTTTGCGTGCTGGACCCTTGGATATTTTTAAAATTTGTATTTTATGCCTATTGATGTTTGAAAATTCATTTGAAGTGAAATGAATCGGGAACTCGTTCAACAAAAGACATGAACTGACTTGCAAATTAAGAATGTGTGCAGGACACACTCCGGGAGGAACTAGCACATCGTCACAACACTGTGAGTAGTAGTACTGTTGTAGTACGCTTTCCTACAGCTA